CCCAGATAGACAGATTGTGGTGCATATTTTCTGCAAAATGCGTCCTTATATAAGAAGCAGATATGCAGCATGCGTGCCTCATATGACAAGAGAGTTTTGGCAGAATATAAAAGACATCATCTGATGTCATAAAAATTGAGGCAATATTACAGCGGTATTCTGATGCAATTTTATGATGTATAAAATGATATCAGAATATCGTTGTAATTGCCTCAATTTTTGTGACATCAGATCACGTCTTTTATATTGTGTCAAAATTCTTGTCATATGAAGCACGCATGCTACATATCTGCTTGTTATATGAGGAAGCATCTTGCAGAAAATATATAACGAAATTTATCTATCTGGGTATTTTGTATGAAGATTCAATAAAAAATTACACGATTTCCTAAAAATTTGTTCAGTTATCAATAACGTAATGTTATTCGCTGTAACTATTACCTTGTTTCAACAAATAATATAATTCTTCAGAATTTTATTACACATTTAATATGGAATGTGCAATTATATTTATTATTTCTAATATACACATTTATTTCCACAATATATTGTGGAATCTTATTGCAAAAGATATTCGCTGAAGTACTTACTTTGGCCATTTCTTGCAACTTTTCAACTATTTGTACAACTTTTTTTTAACTATTTCTACGTATAATACGTACTACATTTAGTAAAAGAAAAAAATTCATTAATCCGGTATTACACCGATGTTTAAACAGATCAACATCGAATTAAATGAATTTTTCTTTCACCATATATAGTACGTATTCTACGTACACACGTACATACACTATTGTATATTGTGTAGTCAAAAATTTCATATGTGCGTATATATGCTGTTTGAAAAAGTTGAACTTGGTCGAACTTTGGACACGCATTGTCATCAAAAAATCACTAGATCAGTTTTATGGCTGCTAAAGATCGAATTTTTTAATTTTGTGAAAAACATGTAAAATCAAATAGATTACATATCATTTAATACAAAGAAACATAATAAAAATAGTTTACCATTTATTTAGTTTATTTATAAAATTTGACAAAAAGTATCACTTCGATTGTACTCAATTGGACACCTCTCATTGGCTGTTGCTCAACATTTGAAACAGCGTTTGAGCGCTGGTGCTAAAGCGCCGTAGTCTGTATGAGGATTCAGCCTTAGTATACTACTTATTAGGTTATTGAATGGCATTATAAGTATATTATATACAATACAAAATATGTCATATTGAATGACATTTTGTTTGCTTTTTATTTAATGCGCTTGTTCTTTGTCATACCTGTACAATGTCAGGCGAAGTTGAAGAAAAAAGACCCTTTGTTTGCAGTTTATTCAATAAAGTTTCTAAGTTTTCAATCTTTCTTCTTTGGCGATGTAACTGTACTCTTAATCGTTTAATAACTATATTTTTCTTTTCACATGTCTTTTTTAATATATTCATGGATTTCGCTACTACTCTTGGTGACATGCTTCCCACTTTTTCTACGTTTATGTCACCTGCGTAACATATACGTTTTGTTGAAACAGTTTCGTCACTTATCTCTTCACGTTGTCTAATATCCGTTTGTACAAATGAGGTATTTGCTGATATATTTTTGTCTATGCCAGCCATACTAAAAACATGACAATTTTAATGTTCAAACACATATAATAAAATAACATATAACCCAGATAGAAATGCGTGATGATGTTTCATCACAATGTGACTTCATACTATGACTCCAATTTACTTAACCAATTTACTCCAAGATACTTTTTTAAAGATCATTACGTAATCTCATGACATGAGCACCAGATGCACACAAATGATGTACAAATTATATTGCAAATATTGATATTGATTATTATTATTAAATGAGGTATTTTTGTGACATCATAACATGTCTA